CCCCCCCCCCCCCCCCCCCCATCTCTCTGATTTGCTACAACCGTATGTCCCACCACGTTCCCTGAGGTCAGCGGACCAGTTGCTCCTCACAGTTCCAGGATCTTGTCTTAAGCGCAAAGGTGACAGGGCCTTCTCTGTAGCAGCACCAAGACTCTGGAACGAGTTACCTCTGCTTGTCAGACAGGCCCCCTCCCTCTCGGTTTTCAAGTCCCATTTAAAAACTCACTACTATTCAATAGCTTTCAACACCAGATGATCTGTGTTTTGATACTGTATGCTCCACAGTGGTTTGTCGTCATTATCTGCATTGTTTTTATGTCTATATTCTGATTTACCTCATTTTGTATTTTGCTTTGTGTGTTACCTGTTGCTTTGTCTGTACAGCACTTTGGTTGGCCTTGTAGCTGTTTTAAGTGCTTTATAAATAAAGTGGTATGGTATGTTAAGAAATGTTGTAATTGAGATGAGGGACCAACTGGTCAAAACAAGTCCATAATTATGGTTCGGAAGAAATGCAAGAAAGTCTCACAGCAATTTCACAGACAGACAATGAAGTATCTGGAAGTTCTTCATGGACCACCTTGTCATCAAATGCATATGTAACATGTTCATAAATGTTTTTTGATGTCTTAAATTGTGTCCTGATAGGACAAGGTGTGAAGAGATCTTTTTTGTAATGCCACTATCCTCTTCTCATGGCTTTGTCCCATTTTCTATCCAAAAATGTATTCTGAAAAGGATGAGGCCACCCTCTCAAAGAGCAGCAGCTATGTGCACTCCGCCCATCTTTCAGACGACTGTATGGACATATTCTCGCTGTATCTTGGTACAATAACAATAAAGCTTATTCGGATTATACTAGTTAGGGGGTACTTGAGATTTTAAAAAAAGCTATGTCACATGGTGTACATCACTGAAAATTTTGAGAACCACTGATTAAACTACTGAACTTAAGAATTAGGACTGCAAATATTTGTTAAAGAGATTTCATTAGAAAAAACAACAACTATTGTTTCTCTAAAGTATGTTGGCCTCACAGGAGCCAGGCAGAAGTATCTGCAGAGTGACAATGAGTTTTAAAGCTTTTCTGAACCAGGGGTAAAACAGGGAATAGATCACAGGGTTTAGACAAGAGTTAAAATAATAGAGAAAGAAAAAAAAAGATGCATAGGATGTACTGGTTAAATTAACTTCAACAACAGAATAACAGTAATATGGGCAGTAACACATCAGAAATACTACAACAAGAACACCAAGAGTCCTGGCTGCTTTCATCTCAGACTTCTTAGTTTTTAGGTTGACAGAAAGCTTCAGTTTGACAGCTGTAACTTGAGATCGCATGGCTCGAGCCTGAAACACAGCAACAAAAAATACTCTCATATACAGAACAATGATGACTGTGACTGGAAGTATAAAGTTAAAAATCAGATCAAAATTTCCTGTAATATTGCTAATAGAGAATCCACATTTTCCTATACAAGGATTATTCCTGCCTGGTTGAATCAACTCATCTTTCAAATAGAAAGTGCTGTAGACAACAGACAATACCCAACACAGAAAAACCCAATATTTGACTTTTGCCAAAGTGATTCTGGTGTGATAATGCAGAGGGTCACAAATAGCCACATACCGGTCAACTGATATGAGAACAATGATTCCAATTGAAGCACAAAGAACAACACAAGCAACATAATAATAAACAATACATAAAGTATCTCCAAATAACCAGCATGCCGTGTATTTAAAGATTTCAACTGGTATCAATAAGAAGCCAACCAAAAAGTCTGAGACAGCCAGAGAGAGAATAAGGATGTTAGTGGGTTTATGGAGCTGCCTGAAAAGAGACAGACAAGTGTTAATTAATAACATTCTATTAAAAAAGGAAGACAGTCAAGAAATTTTAAAATCAGTCAGAAAAGCATGTTCAAATTTTTCACGTTTAAATTGCATTTATAAGTAGTCTGCCTGAAATGGGAGACTGAGATGATGACGAGCAGGTTGAGCACTATAGTGATCAATGAGATGAAGGACAGCAGAGTGTTCAGCAGCAAAGCCTCAGGCCAGTGAAGTGTCGGTTTTCTGCAAGAGCTGTTGAGGAGCTGTGGAAAACAAAGTTTCACTTGATCCTGTGTCTCCATTATCAGACAGCTGTAGCTGTCTGACTGGAACTTTCTGTTTTACAGCTGATTTATATTTTGTGTCACTGGCTATCTCTTGTCAATTGCTTCTGTTACTCCTCCTCTAATTTTGTTAAACAAGTCCTACCCTCCATTGGACCCTCTGTTCTTGACATTATAAACAGCAGTATGGCTACAGGTGTAGTTCCTGACACTTTTAAACATGCAGTGGTAACTCCTTTAATAAAAAAAACCCCGGACTTGACCCTTCAACCTGCTCAAACTTCAGACCCATCTCCAAACTTCCCTTTCTTTCTAAGATCCTGGAGAAAATAGTTTTCACTCAATTAAACGAGTTCTTGAGTGGAAATTATATTCTTGAGATCTTTCAGTCTGGCTTTAAGAAACTACACAGCACCGAAACAGCCTTAGTTAGGGTCTGCAATGACATTCTTCTGGCAAATGACTCTGGTCAGTCTGTAGTCCTTGTACTTCTTGACCTTACCGCTGCATTTGATACTGTGGACCACAGTATCCTTTTATCCTGTAGTGAACTTAATCTGGTGTCACGACTAAGCCTAAGGTCAAAACCCTTGACCTTAAGAACCTTGTGGGACAGAAACTGTCATTTCATTGATTTGAATCCAGAGATACAGGTTCACCCATCCTGAGACTCTCTTTCTTGATAATCAAGTGAAAGAACACTCTCTTTTTATTATCATTACTATTTTACAAATGTTGATAATCAAAGTGTCTTAGTTCAAACCATTTTAGATGTTGCAGTGAACTAATCAATTTTATTAACTGTGTAATGATTTTTAATTCTCATGCAAAGTTAGAATTCATGTTGAGGTCTGTGACAGATTTTTATGCATTTTCTGATTTCTGCCTTTGAATGAGCAAGTGTACGTTTCCAGGGTCAGGAGTGAAGCAGACATGCGTTGGAACAACTGTCCTGTTTATATCCTCTCAGACGTCAACAGGGGGTTTTGGCACCTGTTTCTTAAACTCGCCAAAACAAAACTCTCTCTGCCTGTGAGAACATTTCTGATCTTTCCATAACAATTCTTGCTGCATTCTAACCTTTTACGTCACAAAACACACCCCGTCTGGTCGGTTCTGGCCAATGGGAATACTCCCAGATGAACCGGGAAAACAGCTCTTTAAAATGTCGGTACTTCCTGGTCTAACCAGTTCTGTGAGAGTTCTGGGACAGTTCTGTGAGAGTTCTGGGACAGTTCTGTGAGAGTTCTGGGACAGTTCTGTGAGAGTTCTGGGACAGTTCTGTGAGGGTTCTGGGACAGTTCTGTTGGAGTTCGGTTGGAGACACAGTTCTGTTCAGTTCTGTGCGGAGAAGCCCAGTTCTGGGAGCCGGGAAGATCCTGACATGACAACAGAGCTCTTCCGAGTTCATGGGATTATAACATTTTCCACTGAGGTGAGCTGATGAGGGACAGAATCTAGCTGCTACTCCGGAGTAGTAACAGCATCCTACGGAGACGCTGAAGGGTGCGTTAAACGGAATCTCGCCTGAGACATCTCCAGGTAAAAGAGTCGATTTCACCACCTAAGTGTACCGTAAGAAAAGCTGAAGAAAGCCCGGAGAGTGCCGTTCTGTTCACACTCCCTCAAACCCCATCTTTTACTCTTCTTTAAACTTCTTTCCCATCTTTAAACTCCTCTCTCAAGTAGAAATTCTTCCAGATATTTAGAAATGTCTGTGTAAAGTGCTCATCCACCGCCGTGTGGGTAAAAGATCATAATTGTACAGTTTTCATAAATGTCTGTGGTGACGCAACGGAAAAATCATGGCCGTATGATTTTTCCTGATTGATTGCTTATGTTGTTATTTTCATAATTTGCCAAATTAATGTAAATGTTTGATGTTAAACTTTGATTCTGTAAATAAATGACCGCATTCATTTTGATGGGTCAAATATAAATGACGTCTCACGTTTGCATTTCATTAAATTCAATGCACGTTTTATTCAGTTCAGAAAAATGAGGAATCCGTGTTAATTGATGAATATATCTGAGCATCTGTTCATCTACA